ATTATGGGCAGCTGTAAAATCATGTTTCATTTATATCTGCAATTTTGTTGGAGGGGGTGGGTACTGGAGGGTTGGTTTTTTTTTTTTTTTTTAAGCAAATCACTGATAACATGTCTTTTCACTCACGAAGGCTTTAGCGCCCTTAGTAAAAATCCATCCTACTTGATGAAGAAATCAGATTCTAAAACACTGCTTCTCTTGCCAAGATGTCCCATTTGCTAAGACTGGAGAATGTCTGTCAAAATAGCGGTTAGAGTAGAGACACACTGCTTGTCCACTCACAAACATGTGGTATTCTTCTTAGAACAAGAACAGATTGCTAACATTATATCCCAATAATTTAGAGACCATTGATGTACTATCCATATCTTAAGGAGCAGATAGTTTGAAACTATGGTCTAGACTCATTAGTCTGCTGATCTGATCTCTATTATCCACGGTCAGGAAAACTTATGTGGCACTTAGCCATTCCCAGATTCTACAAAATTAGAGTAGACTGGGTTGCCTACATGACCTGGTCCAAGGCCGTCCCCAGCCACAGAGATGAGAGCTCTGCTCCGAGGGCTGGGGCTCAAGAAGTCACTAGTAACTTGGTCAAACATTGCCAGCCATTTCTTCATGCTTCTGATCCAGTTAAAAGATCCCTACACTGAAGTTTTACCTTCCTAAAACAAAGCAAAGCAAATGCTCAATGACTGGGGGGAAGTGTGATAAGGAAGAGTTACAGCTCTTCCACAGAGGGTAACCACCAGAAACTCTAAAGATAGAAACTGTCGAAAGTGTGTGTCCCTGAGGATCGAGAGGGGTCTTGGGACATGGATGGAGGAGAAGGAAATTGCTGCTCACTGTATGTCCTAAGTGTCATTTGATTATTTTGCCATGGAGATCTACTTATTAAAAGAGTAAAAAGAGGGACGCCTGGGTGGCTCAGTTGGTTAAGCAGCTGCCTTCGGCTCAGGTCATGATCCCAGCATCCTGGGATCGAGTCGCACATCGGGCTCCTTGCGCCGCAGGGAGCCTACTTCTCCCTCTGACTCTGCCTGCCACTCTGTCTGCCTGTGCTTGCTCTCGTGCTCTCTCTCTCTCTGACAAATAAATAAATAAAATCTTTAAAAAAAAAAAAGAGTAAAAAGAGACGACTACCTCTCCTAGAAATAAAAAGCTTACAAGACTTGTAAGAATAGACACATCCATGGGGAAGAGTACACAAATTAGTAAATACCAGGAATTCAATATTGTAATTTAAAGGGGAATTATAAATCATGGGAATTGGAAGAATTATTCAATTGTGGTATAGCAATTATTGGTTACCAAATTCAATAAAAATTTGAGTCTCATTTCATTATCCCTTTTGCAATATGAACATTGATTAGATTAAGAGATCATATGTGGAAAACCAATGTATAAATAACTAAAAGAATAAAAGTGAATATTGATCCAATTTCTGGGTGGGGACCAAATCTCTAAATGTCAAATCAACATAAGAAATCACAAAAAGAATGGATAAGTTTGACAAAATAAGATTTAGAACTTCTAAATTTCATAAAACAATTAAGCAGCATTGAAACCATACAATAAATCGGAAATAAGAGTAACAAAAATTATGCCAGACAAATGTATAATATTCTTACTGTATAAAGAACTCATGTAAATTGATAGCAAGAGTGCGAAGACCCCAGCAGGTAAACAAGCAGGAGGCATCACAAGCAGAAAGAGCGACCACAAATCACCAACACAGATTTCGAAACCATGATTAGATTCAGTCATAAAACATTAATTTAAAAACAAAATGCCACGTTCATCCGATAAATTGGCAAGAAAAAACTTTAAATGGCAATATCTAACTGGGCCAAGAGTGAAAAGAAATTGATGACCTTATATACCAGTGAATCAACAATTTGGCAAGATTATCGAAAACCTTAAAAATACGAATATATTTCAACCCAGCATTGCCCCATCTGGCACTCTGTCATAAACCAACATCCCGAATAACTGATTGCAGCTGCCCTGTCTGTCACCCCTCCTTCTAGATTTCATTCCTTGCCTGATAGCTGCCTTCCCTGCTAGGCTCTAAGCCTGATGAGGAGAGATGTCGGCTTTTTCTTTATAGCTGCCCCAGTACTACGTGCAGGGCTTGACATCTAACAGGCGGTGTTAGTTCAGAGTGAAATTTGGCCAACACTTTAAACATAACAAAAAGAGGAAGGGCTTGATCATTCAACAAGGAGAGAATGGTTAAGTAAATTTTCAAACACACATACAATGGGAACCATTAAAATGAGGCATATAAGAAGTTCCTAACAGGATGGGAAAATGTTCATAGTCTGATGTTATCGAAAAAAACACAAAACTGAGATATGGTATGATTTCAACATAAACGGAGAAAACTTTTAATTGCATCTTTTATTTTAAGATATCCCCTTATTTTTTACATGCCACTAAGAATTTTAGAATGTCCCAGCTGCGGGGTCTAGCAAGGTAGCCCCGATGCAGCTGTGGCAAAGAACCCTCCCACGCAGAGAGGGCGGGGACAGAAACGTGCTCATCTCCACTTTGTCGTTGGCTGGAGGGAAGGAAAACATCTGGCCCAAGAACGTGAACGGCAAACCAGTGTTTGCGCTAGCTTGCATTTTGAATTCCCGCTACCAGCGTGGTCCAAAGAACCTTTGAGAATTCAACTCAAAGTCGTCTTGGGTTGGTGGTGCCTCCCGATGGCTGACAAGAGCAAACCCAGATCTCCGTGAGAACTCGACCTCCTCCGTGGGGCTGGCAGCACTTCTGAGTCACCATAGCGATGTTAGCAAGTGAAAAGCTTCACCCTAGAATTGGTGAAATAGAATAAGCCAAATCCTAACAATGGCCAACTCAGTGGTGAGCTTATAGATCAAAATTACTTGTAAATGATGTATTTTATACACATTTTTATGTATTATAGGTATATTTACATCTTGTAGATATGTTTTTTAAAGATTTCATTTATTTGAGAGAGGGAGTGGCTGCGGGGGAGGGCAGAGGCAGAGGGAGAAACAGGCTTCCCACTGAGCAGGGAGCACAATGCAGGGCTCAATCCCAGGACCCTGGGATCATGACCTAAGCCAAAGGCAGGTCTTTAACTGAGCCACCCAGGGGCCCCTAGGTATGTTTTATATAATGTATTTTGTAGAATGCAGATATATTCACTATTTGGGAACATAGAATTATTTTATTTCAAAATTTAAATATATGGGGTTCTAGGGAAACTCGTTCTAAAATATAACACCATCCTAGGGTCTCTGTGACTGCCCTGCACTTCCTCTTACCTTCCACACTCCTTGCCCACCAGAGCTACTCTAATAGCTAATTTTAATTAGTTTCTTTCCTATCATTTTGTGAAATTCAGTATATCCCGAGAAGATAAATCTGATGGTCAGGTATAGAGCCTCTTTCAGACTGTGAATGTGTGTGGAAAGGCCTGTCATCAGCCTCATTAACATTTTTGAGCACCTGTTAAGTGCAAGATACTGGGTTAAGCCTGGCAGGAGGATCCGGTGGTACAGAGGGGTGAGTCTCTACTTCTCTTCACTTGCTTAGTTGACAAATGTCTGTTGTGCACCTGTTATGCAAGGCCTTAGGAATCTGATGGTAGACATGGTGGCAGTTGAGCTATATTATACACATATAAACGAAGAATGGGAAAGGCTCTAGGTTTAAGGCTGGGACGTCTGAGGCTTCTGTTTACATAGCAAATTATATATAGGACATATATATATAGGATGAATATAGTATAGAGACTATGAGTTTATTTCTTGGTACATACACAACTTGAAGGTATTAAACAAGGGGGTTCAGGATGGAGTTCATACAAAAGATCAGAAAAAAGAAGTTCCTCAGGGGAGAAAGACAAGTCAGAACCGAAAGAGATGGTTTTGGAAATTGACTATGGATTTTCTAGGAAACCCCATTTTTATATTGAGAAATACTATTTCGAATGCCTCAACCCTTGAGTGTATCTGTGCTAAGTAATCAGAGGAGGTGGGAATAATAGGAATAGGTATTAGAATAAGAAAGCATGAAGCGAGGAGGGAGACTTGTTCAGACACCAGATTCATCCAAGGTTCAGGAAGGCCCATCAGTTGACTTGCTCTCAGAAGGGCCCAGGGGATTTATGCAGGGGCTGTCCCCTGGGGGGTGTTGATGAAGACTTCCCATCCTATGTGCCCTATGTGCCAGAGATACAATGATGACACAATTGCACCCCTCTGCCCAAGGAGATGGTCAGTGACTGCCCAGGGCTGCCGCTTCCAGGCCAAAATCTATGACATAACAATAATCTATTTATGCAACATTTAGCTTAAAGAAAGGGGACTGCTTTCATCATTTATCTTTTTACCTCCACCTCCCCCCTCCCAACCCCAAGGCCAGGTAAGTGACCATCCAGCACTCTCTCTGGAGACCTGGTCACCCAAACGGATGAGCCCCGGGCAGGGTCCGGTGAAGGCCAGGGCTGGGCACTATCCAGCTCAGTCAAGGGCACAGCAGACTGGGTTAGAGACACAACTACTTCCGGCCAAATACCAAAGCCCACAGCTCCGGGAAGCCAGGCCCAAGTCCAAATACCATCAGAACGGCCGGGGCTGCCTCTTCTGCTTCACTTCCCAGCCCAGCGCTAGCTTTAGCCGCACTTCCAGGATTATGTAACACATTTTTGTCACGGTCCATATGACCACGGGAATGACAAAAATAATGATGGCGTGTAGCCATGCACGGTGGTACAATTATCGACGGGATCCTAGGTGAGAGGGCACGTCAGCCCAGCGCAGGTGGACGGAGCCAGGTGGACGCGCGTCCGTGCCACAGGACGTCTCCTGTACGCGGGCACACACATGCCTCCGTGAATCCAAACTCCGCACGCAGTTCGGCGAAGCGGGTGGGGCGGCCGCGGGACTCGCGCGGGCGGGGCGGGGCGGCGCGGGGCAGGTGCGGCCTCGGGCGGTGCGGCGGCCCGGCCCGGCCCGGCCCGGCGAGGGGAGTTCCCGCAGCCCGCCCCTGCGCCCGCCCCTCGCCGCCCGCGGCTCCTCCTCGCTTCGCCATGGTGGAGCGGGGAGACGCGGCGCCGCTGCTGCGCTGGGCCGAGGGCCCCGCGGTGTCCCTGCCGCAGGCCCCGGAGCTGCAGGCTGGAGGCCGGGGCTGGGGCAGCGGCGGGGGCGGCCGGCCGGCCGCGGAGCCGCCCAGGAGGCGGGAGCCCGAGGAGCTGGGCGCCTCCGAGGTGCTGCTGCAGCCCGGGCGCCTGGAGCTCGGCGACGTGGAGGAGGACCAGGTGGTGGCCGTGTTCGTGGTCACCTTCGATCCCCGCTCGGGTGAGAGCCGCTCCGGAGGGGGGCGGGGGTTGGGGGGCGGGAGACGGTCGTCCACCCCCGGGCTTTGGGGGCGGCGGGGGGAGGGGCTCGCTGCGCGCGCACCCGCACCCACACACCTGCACCCCCCCACCCCGCCGCCGGGCTCCGTCCGAGCGAGCAGAGTGTCCCCGCGAGGTCTGGGCGCGGGACGCGGGGCTTTGTTCCCTGCGCCCTCCGGACCCCTCTCCTCCCGTCCCGCGGCCTCCCAGCAGAGCCGCGGTCCGCGCCCCCCTCCCCACAGCCTTGTTTGCACTTCTCCAATGCTGGCCGATCCTGTGTGCGGCCACGGGCGCGCTGGCTTTTGTTTTGTTGCTTTGCTGAAAGGTTTTTTTTCCCATCAAGAGCAGAAACGCCCCCCAGGTGAACTCCTGTAACGGGTTGTACCGAGCTCCCGGGTTCTCTGCTGCCCCGCCCTCGCTCCCCATCGCTCCCCGCACGGTAACTTTCCAAGCAGCCAAGTTCACTCGCTCTGACAACACATTTTGAGGAATCCGTGCAGGGAGCATTAAGGGATGGGATTGAGGGATTAAACTGGAGACGGATTAAAGGAGAAGCCTCCTCAAGTAGACTCTTCCTGGTTGATTTGGAGAATTAAAGGGTTATCTAAAATAATCTTGGACTTAGCCACCCACAGAGTGTCCAAGTGAACGGTAAGAAACTTCATGGGGGGTCAAAAGTGAATGAATAAGCTTCCTCGGAAATTCTCAGGCGGCGGTGAGGGGCATCAAGCCCCAGCGCATCTGCTCTCAGCACTGAAGGAAGCAGGGCTGCTAGTCCTTGTTATGGGGTTTTAGGAAACCCCAGGCATTTTTCTGACCCTAACTCCCCATTGGAGTCCTGGAATGCAGAGTGCCTGTTAGTGAGGGACAAGATCTGCTTCCTCCTGGTGCTCGAGGGATGGGCTCTGAAGCCCCGGATGGGCTGCCCTGGAGAAAGGGTTAGGATCTTCAGGTGCGGAAAGACGCAGTTAACCTGGCTGGATCACCTAACTAGGGCCAGGGATTCTAAACCAGCAAGACTCAGAAAGAAAGAGTGCCAACAGGTGGAGGGACTAGGCCTTTCTGACTCATTTTTGTTCCTTGGCCCTGGGGCTTTGAAACTTCTTTGAGGGTGACCCACTCTTGGAAGTTAATTTCACATCACAGTGCACTCATACACGCTTTACTGACTGATATTCCATGAGATAGTACTAACCTCTTCTACCTGTAGTACATAGTGGTATTTTCTTCCTTTTTTTTTTTTTAACACCTCCTGTTCGACTGGTATGATTAGGACTCCCAGATACCAGTAATTTGAAAAGGTACTCTTTTGACCAAAGTGATCCTTATTGCTAGACAAAGATACGTTGTATTAACTAATAATATTCCCTAAGCCCTACCCCATCACCTACAGGTGAATAGATGCAGGCTTGAGACTCATTCTGGGAAACGCAGAAGGATCACTAGAAGAAACAGCAAGGGAACACTGAAGGGTCTGATTCAGCAGTGGTAGCTCCGGCAGCAGAGTGTAGGGAGGGGAAGGAGAAAAAAATCCTACACTAACCACAGATGGAGTTGATGACATCAAGGAGCACAGCAGAGCTGGGACCCTTCCGATGCTTTGTCGGTCCCAGCTGTGACCGTGGTTTGGCCAGGTTTGGGTATATGGAATATTTGTAAGTGTGATGGTGTGATGTAGGTACATACAAGGGTGGGTCTATGGCAAGGTTTTCAGATTAAGGTTAGTGTGGAAAGAAGGGATTGTAACTGATACTTGGACACTGTGCAGGCATTTACTCTTAGTGGCGTTTCATGTAATTGTGAGCATCGTTGTTGCCCAGGTCATCCAGGAGCAAGCAGATCAAGGATGAGTAAGTAATTCGGAGCTACTAACCAGTCCACTCTTGACTCTAAGTCCAGTGTTCTTTCTGGTGTACTGCATTGCCTGACGCTCTGTCCCCCAACTTTTTATCATCACCGTGTCCGGGGAGTGGAGAGGAAGGGAAGGAGCAGTGGGAGAGGTCAGGGAAGAGAATGAGTGTTTCCCCTTGGTTGGTGGTTTTTTGGTTTTTTGGAAAGCATTTTTATTCCCTGCCATTTAACTTACCTCTCTTTTGTCATCTTTCCCAGTCCAGGATGGCACTTGGCATCTTGTAGAAATACTCTGATAGTCCTCTGTAAAGTGAAAATTACAGGGTACATCTCCCAAAGTGGAAGTTTCCGGGTCCCCCAGGGGTCCACCAGGACTCAGAGCTGCACAGTCCCTTCCGTGGTGGGTGAGGAAGTCATGGTCTAGAGAGCTGAGATGCCAGTCCTCCGTTGCCCAATGAGCTGGGGACAGTCATGGGACCAGGCTATGTCTCCTGGTTTTAGTTCGGTGTTCCCCTGACTCTGCTGAGGCAGATCTGCTATGTGTTACTATTGAATCTTGGTCCACCTAGAGTGGCCCAGTGGCTCAGTGAGTTAGAGCATAGTGCTAGTAACCTGGGCCCACTGAGACTTTTGTCCTTCCTTAGCCTGTGACACCAAAAATAATAAAGTGAATACTGGCTTCTTTACAAATATCCAGAACATATCACAGAACTTCTCATGTGGGAGAAATTGTCTAGACTTTCTCTTTCCTGCTTACCTCTCCACTCCCCCCACCCCGTGTTTCTTCCACCTGTGTCCTGTTTCCTTCCCAGGAAGCTCCTCCCTTCTCCCCAGACCTACCTAGTCATTTACTGCCCCGCCCGTGGCAATTTCATTCAGCTTCCCACCTGGCATATGTCCCTGTTGGCACCTGTGCACACAAGAGGGCGAGAGAGAAGGTGCAGGAGGAGAGAAAGCACAGCTGTGGTGCATCTGTGGGGTGGGCGTGGTCTGTGCTGCGGGAGTGGTTGGAAGAGAGGGTGTGAGGGAGGAGTGGGGCCTTGTTAGGGTGTGGGTGGGTGTGCACACGGGCACGCACAAGTCTGGCAGGAATATACCGCGCAATTTGCAGACTATGGCAGTGAGACAGTAGTTCTTTTGTACTTCTGAATATAGATTTTTGGTTGGGCATCTGTAGGAAGAATCAGAGAAGAAGATAGAGGCATAAAGAATGATTTTCTTTGGATTCATGGCTTGAAAGTTATGCTGGTCAATCTATAAAGGACTAAGGACTTTGGGTTCGAGTAGAGTAGAGGTGCACACATTCTCTCTCTCCCCCTCTCCTTCCCTCCCTCTCCCTCATTCAGCCTCTCCCTGGAGCTGGGAGCCCTTAGGATGGCAGTGCTGGCCATCTGGGCTACAAAGATGCTATTGACGCCAGGCCCAGATGCTAACTATGCAAGCCAGGTGGGAGAAGTTTGGCAGCCAGAATCTTGTTTTTTCATTGTGTTCAACCCATGATTCAAGCCCGGATTTTTCATTTGTATTTCGTTCTTTGAGTTTCTAGTAAAATTTTCTTACTTCTGCCCACTTGTGTGTGGGCCTGCAGCAGATAAGTCTTTGGGCACAAAGTCTGACACCAGTGACTCATTGGAGTGTTTCTTGATAAGAGATCTGCTTTAAAAGGCTATATCGCCCCCCAACACTGAGTTATTTCATGGGGAGGCTGGGGGGGGGATTCCTGTGCCTTCTGTGTTTGCCTTGGGCTGCTGGGGAGGACTCCCGGGAGGACTCTGGGGAAGTCTTGGGGGGTAGCTGAGGTTAAGATCCTTCTTTTCCCTTTGTTCTTCCTGATGAAGGATGCATTTCTACCTGTTCTTCCCTCACCTGCTAGCCACTGCCTAAATTACACCTCAACACCTGTTTAATTTCATCTCCGTGCTCCTGTTTATGTCAAGTGAGTGTGTTTGAGATCACTCCCACTGATTTTAATCTCCATACATTCTCCATGAAGTCCACACGATGCAAAGCATTTTCTCTTACAACAGCGGAGATGAGGGGACACAGCAGATTCGAGCCAGGTAGGTGTCCTAGACACAAGGTTGGAGCACTGCCCAGGTCACCTGACTTGCGCAGATAGTAAATGGCTCCAGCCGCGGCTGGGCAAGTGACCAAGTAGAAGGAGAAAGGAAGATTTGGAACATAATTTTGAGATGCAAAGAGCAGCCCTGAGAACAGCCAGCTCAAAGGGCAAAGAGAAGGCCTGTTCTGCCAACCAACCAGGTCCTTGGAATGAGTGACCATGCCACATCCTTTCTCAGTAGTTCCCTCCGATGTCCGTGGAATACAGTTGTGGTTCATTTCATTAATCCCACATTGGCGGAATCTTCCCGGCTAATGGTGAGTCACCTGCTTGTGGTTTTCGGGGAGAAGTCCGTTTGTGGCCATCTGCTTTGAATTCTGTTTCTTTGCTTAAAAGATGAGCGAGGAAAGCAGGAGTGGGAGCCATCGCGCCCACCAGTTACGGGGTGCCCACTGTGGCCAGGAGCTGGGCTGGAGGTTCCAGCGACCTGACCTCTGGTCCTTCCAGCACCGCTCGTCACCGCCATGGTGAGAGAAGCAGATGCACTGAGCCGTTCAGTCCTCTCAAGTCATGGAGCAGAGCGGGCAGAGCCCAGTGGTGAGCCGGGTCTCCGGGACCTTGCCCGCCCTCCACACACTGCTGTCAGGGTAACATGGTACAGGGCCCATGAAATGGAATGGTTTTCCCACCTGAAATTAATGCATTGGAATTTAGCCGTGAATCGGCCTAGGGCTGACTTGAAATCACCAGGATTGATTTCTTCCTGCCTAGGTTTCTTTATGCTGACTCGTCTTTGCTTGGCGCTCACTCTCATCCCAGGTGGTTTTAAAACTCTTTAAGAGCACTTAAGGCAGAAAGTTGATAGAGGCTGTTTCCTTTTCTGGTGTTTGGAGTCTTTTGAGGTTTCTTCCTTCTCTGGCATTTGGCGGCCCCCTAAGGAAAGGAGGGGCATGTGGTGTAGGGACTACAAGTATCCCTGGATTCTTGCCTTTCTTCTGGAGACAAGATTCCTTTTTACTTCCTGACCAGAATTAGTAGATGTCTGTACA